CTTTCAAAAGACATGAAAAAATAATCTATATAGATATCATTATAGGCTATCCAATTAATGTGATAGCCTACACTTTTCCCACCCAAATAATTTTTAGCTTCAAATAGTAAGTTTTGGTTGATTTATTAATGTGGTAAGTTTTTTTGTATATATAATTACTATTTATTCTTGTACATTTATTAGTATACATTGTAATATTTCATTCTTTTAAATGTTATTTCCATTTTTTATTTTCTTTTATGACATCTAATAAAAACTAATTAAAATTTAAAACAAGCTATATATATAATTAGAGATTATCACATCAATAAAAATTTTCATATTCCACTCTTTTTTTTTGTTATACATAGTAGCTTGTTTTTTACTTAAATATGTAAGCATACTAATGTTGAAATTAATTGGTACGGTTTTATTCGCTCATTTTATAATTCTTACTTTTATTCTTTATATTTTGAAATAGAATAATTACAAATTATTCTACCAAAACCTGTGGGTATAAAACAAAAATAGAAAATAAAAATAAAACAATATTATAAAAGACAATTTATTGTTTCATAAGAACGTGTTAAATTTTTTTAAAAAATGCATTCGTTTAAATAAAATTCATCCTCAAATAGTAGAGTAATGATAATAATAATACTAATAATATTTAATGTATTTTATTTAAATATCTTGACCGTTATGATTATATTTATATTCCCATATATATAACCATTGGTAAAGAATTTATTTCAAAAATAAAATCAGCGCATTTTATTCAACTAATTGTAAAAAGAAACTGTTATATTTTTATTAATTAATTAAATTATATATTTTATTTTATAATTACATAATAACTAATATTAACTAAGCTTAAGTCACATTAAAGAATATAAGAAAGTTTATACATATAAAATATTTTATTTAGATTTTTTAAACTACTTATTTAAAATAATAATTATTTTTTAAGTCATTAATATTTTCTTAATAAAAATAGTTAAATACTTTTATATGGCATACCCAAATCATTTTATCTAATTAATTGGTGATATCACTAAATATTTTCTACAATTATATTGATGCAATTATTGAAAGTGTATTTGCTTTAATAAGCCATCGAACTATTAGAAATTCTCTCTCTATCAAAGCCGATCCCCTTTTCTCGTTCTCTCTCGGCGTCAATCTAACGTAATCGTTGCCCTCCTCGCGGCCTTCCGCCCTACTGGTAGTTCCTCGCCGACCGGCCCTTCCCGGTTGCTGCGACACTGCTCGACATGGTTGCCGATGGCTCTTAAAATCGCAAAATCAAACTCACCTATCCCGATAGGTGGGTTAGGGTTTGCGGTTGTAGTCCTTCTCGGCGATATGGAGGGTCCTCGGGTCGCGGTGAGTTGGGTTCGGGCTGGGTTCGGCTCTGGCTGTCAGCATTCTTGGGCCGTAGCGTCTTTAGTCTCTCAGGAACCCCCGCTCTGAATTCGCTTTTGTCGGCTTGGTCGGACTTGTGGGTTCGATTTTTTCGGTCGCCGAGGTTGCTGGGGGTAAGCCGGTCTGCACTGTTCCTTTTTGTCGGGGGAATGGGGAGTTTAGGCAACGAACTTTTGAGTGATGTCTGGTCGGAATTTTGGTTTTTGCCGGACACGATAGAAGGTGAGTTTCCTCTTCTTGTTCTTTCTGTCTCGGTTCTCTATTGTCTGCGACCGGCGATGCTCTCTACTTTCTCTGTTCTATCCGTATTTTGGCGGAGCTCTATGGCTGCGGCTTAAGGAGGGGAGGTAGGACTTGGTGCGTGCGGTTCGGGGCTGGGTTCATTTGGGGCTAAGGTGTCGTTGTGACTTCGGGATTATGCAGTTGGGGCTGAGACGTTGAGTCAGTCTCTCTTCCCCCGGTTCCTTGGGTTCTAGGGTGATCACTGTTCTTTCAGAGCCCGCTAGTGGTGTTAGGGGGCTCGGTCTGGCAGTGTTGGGAGCTTACTTAGCGCCTCTTGGCGTAGGGAGAATTGGCTTTGGGTGGGATTCGTAGTATGAGTTTCGATTCAGCTAGGCATTTTGGCAGTGGAGGGGTCGCTCTCTCATGCTATTGAAGCCCCTTGGGTTGATTTGGTGGCTGCTAGTCTGGTTGGATTTGCTGCAGAGGGAGGGCATTTTGAGTGTTTTTGTGTTTTTTTTGTTGTTATTTTTATCTTGTGTGGTAGGATTGTGTTTTAGGTTTGGGCCGTTGGCCTCGGTACTGATTTCTTTGTGGGGGGTGTTTCATATTCTCCTTTGGGGAGCGTTCGTAGTTGGTGTGTTGGTGTTTTTTAGTTATTAGTGTGGTGTTTTTCTTTTCTAGTGTGGCTAGCGAGGCTCTAGGCGGTGTTTCGACCCGTCCTTCCAGTTTTAAGTCTTTGGTTGTACTATTTAGCCATGGGCTGCCTTTTTGCACAATTGTGCACTTTTTATCTATAATACCACTATCGTTTCGGCAAAAAAAAAAAATATTGATGCAATCAGTATAGTGATTTATATGGAGGTTAAATAGTTTATACTTCTATCGTTTATATTTACAAACAATAAAATTTCTACAATATGATATGCTCATTATTTATCTTACAATTTTAAATATGATATAAATGAAGAATTATACAATCCATCAATTAAAATGGCGGGACAATATTAGAGTCAGTAAATAAAAAAAATGAGTCAATTATTCTTTGAAACTGAGCAATCACTTGACAATTAAGTTATACTATTAATAACCGTTTTTTAAAACTTTATAAATAGCTGAAAAAATAAGAACCAAAACCACATTTAGCAAAAAATACTACTCAGCAGAAAAAAAAAAAACAATCCAGTTAATTCTCATTTCAAATTGCTTTTATGTTTGGTAATATTGAGGTTGGTTCACCATTATTCATCAAGATCTTTGATAAAAAGAAAATAATAAAAAAAACATCAAACTGGTGGATTGGAGTACGTATTTCACGATGTCAAGGTATAAAATTTTTTGCACTCTCTTTTAACACATATTATTTCAATATCTATTTTTTATAATATTTATTTTTTATTATGTAGGGTCAGCGGATTCACACTTCAGGCCCGGGTTGCTTGGCTGAAAAATTTAAGAAGTTTAAGATCAATAAGGGTCGTATTTGTGCCATAAAAAATTTAAGGTGTTTTCCGACCAAAATTATTTGCCAAAGAAAATTTATACAACAATAATGATTCCAAAACTTTATCCACGAAATAATACAAAAAACATACAAATTTATCAAACCAATAAATAAACAATTCATATCTAGATCAATAGCTTCACCGTTGATAAATTAAAAACATGTCTACGACGGCTAAACAAAATCGGAATCAATCCGAGTGTGTGTCTCCGATGAGAGAAAAAAATTAAAAGTGAAGAAGAAACGGCGAAAATGTTGCACGTGGTAGGGTTTCAGGCATCAAATACCTGCCTCTACCACCTTCTTAAATGTTTTATATTTGTGTGGTGGATGAAACTTTGACCGTGCTATACGGGTCCGAACATCCCTCATCAGTGCATCAAACTTCGCCCAAAGACACGACAAATTATATCTAGACGGTCTTCGGGGTTGAGGTTCCTCTCAGAAATGAATCGACTGATTTCAGGCCACTTGGGGTTGCAGGTGAAAGTTATGAATATATCGGGATAACCGGTACAACGACAAATGGTAATCGAATCCAACGACAAAGGGTGCGCATCAATTGGCAGCCCATAAAATTTTTCAATGTTGCTATAAAACCAACTGGTTGGTTCCCTTATGGAACCAACACCCAATGATTTTGCTCCATGTTGGGCTGTCCCACATGGAGCCCCATGTGGGACAGCCCCACATGGAGTAAAATTATTGGGTGTTGGTTCCATAAGGGAACCAACCAGTTGGTTTTATAGCTACGTTGTAAAATTCTTATCTATCATTTATATTTTCTTTGATTAGTGTACAATTCGATTGATATGTTTTTGTTGTCTGAATTTTGAGATTAGTAGATACTCGATTAGTTATTACTAAGCTCACTAGCTCAACAGCCATGTATTCGAATACAAAATATGAACCGGTGTCAGAGTTGGTAATAAGGTTCTTATTCCTAGGCTCAAAATCATACATCCATTTTGAGGGTACCTTTCAAGTTTCAGCACAAACAGTTTCCTCTCATGGTTTCCTATGCTATAAAAATTAATAAGAGTTAAGGGCAGTATCTGTCGCACATCAGCGTACTACTGAAAAGAGCCCTGTATTTAGTCATGAACAATTGTACGTGGTGCTTTATAGAATTACGAGCCGAAGAGGTTTGAAGATAATGATTTTGGTGATGGAGTTTCTGACGATAGGAAAACCACGAATGTTGTACATAAAGAAGTATTTAATAATATTTAAAAAATTTTACAACATTTTTTGGATGGCTATGTTATGATTTTTACTATTGTTTATATTTTTTATTACAATTTACAACTAGTAAATAATAATTGTTGCAGCACGTGACATTTACTACAAACTTTTTAAAAAGGAAAGTAACTTAAGTTAGATGTCGGCCCATATATGCGATTTTACTTGTTCAACAAAATCTATTATATTTTCTCATTTGGCCCAATTCCGATTGATCCTTTCTGTCCCCAACGAGCACGATTGAGAAACTCGCTCCTAGGGTTTGCATCTCACAAAATTTGTTCACAATTTTCCTATCGATTCTCACAGGTGATATCACTGTTCTCCATTGGAATTACAGTATCATCGTTATCTTTCAAATTCGAATTGTTCTATTTGCCTATTGTAATTGTAAATTAGCTGAGCTTCCAGGATTAATTTTAGGAATTATTTCATTTTATTTATTTGCTAATTGATTCTTTCTTTGATTTGATTTTTTTTTTTTTTATTTTTATTTTTTGGCTGAGTTTTGATGAGCGAAGCCAAATTTATCTGCTAAGTTCCTTTCTATTTTTTGTGTGGTGGGCTTTTATATTTGTGAAATCTTCTTATTTCTAGGTTTTCGGATCAGTAAGGTAAACTTGCCGAAGGCATGGCAAGTAACCCCCCATCATCTGGTTCACAGGTATTGTTTTTCTTGTTGGTGAAGAAAATGTTATGCTTTTTATGAATTCTTTATGTGGAACACTGTATATAGAAACAGAAATTTCACGTTATGGAAATTTTATGTTGACGTGTTATTCGACAAAGCCTCTTCTCAGAACGCCCAAATATTAAATTTTTTGAAATTAGCAATTTCAGTCAAAACACTAATAAACAAGCTCTCTACGAAACAAGCTAATTAGTAGATTTGACACGTCAAACCTCTAAATGAAGTTCAATGTGCTAGTTTTTACATCAATCCGCTAACATCCAACCGAGTCAGTATATAGTGAGTCAAGTTAGATACCTAAGGAGTAAACTCTGCTTGAATATATTTGGTTGGCTTATGACCTTTCCTGCTTTCCTTTCATCTTATCTGGAATTAGTTTTACAAATGTTGGATGTTATGCATCTGTAAAGTTCGGCCTTTTTTTTTTTTTTATATATATATGAATTTGTAATGTCATCACATGGTTTTTGTTTATTTGTCATAGTGGCCACATCCTGTATCTGTATCTATGGCTCCTCAGAGTTTTATTCCTCCCTATCCGATGCAAGTACCGATGCAAGTACGTATAGCTTGGGCATACATTATAATTTATATGTACCTATATCTTATTTCTACATCGATATTCTGTAAGTTTTCATACTGATATTTAAATGCATTATCGGCTTGTGTATGTTGCACAGTTCCGTCCTGCAGGACCGACACCACAAGGACAACAATATATTCCTCCACAAGGTACTCAGCAATTTCATCCGGCTGGACAATCACAAAATCTTGTCCTGGCTCAGGGTCAAAATCAACCACCTCAGTTTTCTCAGCCTGTGCAACAATTTATGCCACGACCCACACAGCCCGGCCATTCTGTACATCCTCAATCAAGTATGCCTATGACAACAGGTGTTCCACAGCCTCAACCCACTGGCCCGAGTCCGGGAGTTTCATTTTCATCATCATATACTGTAAGAAATTGGTAAATGTTCACTTGGTCGCTGGGGTAATTTTTGTTTCTGTTGATGAATTATATTCATTTGCAGTATGCCCCATCTTCATTTGGCTTGCAACAGAGTAGCATCAACATGCCTTCTCAATTCCAGCATTCACCTCAGATCTCTACACCTCTTGCTCCCACTGGGACACAATCTTGGTTACACTCAGGTCAGAGTACACCAGTTGTGGCACCATTGCAGCAAGCATTTACTTCTAGTGCAACTGTACCCGTAAGCACACCTCTGTTGCTCTTTCAGATATAGATCATGCTTAGTGCTTTTGGGTGTCTGTTTTTCTTCTCATCTCCTAGTTATGAATGCCTTTAAGAAAAATTTCTGTTTATTTGCTTTAGTTTTTCACTTTGTTCAAAACTTTGTTACCTGTGCGTACTCCGGAAGCACCATGTACTTTCTTCATACTTCAGTTCATTCAAGAATTGCAAAAATTGTATGAACAAGATGCATCATTTTTCAGCTCCCTCTACATCATTAACATAGCATGTTTTTGGTTTAGTCTGTGTGATTGTCTGCTTACTGCAGAAAGATGCGTATTAGGGAATCTATAATAAATTATACTTAATTAAAAAAAACACTACATGAAATCAGTAATTGGGAAAAGAGAGGGAGGATAAAGGTATAAGAGATAGAGGAGTGTGACTGAGAAGGGCAGAGATAGGAGAGATGAAACCAACTTTTCATTTAGATAAAGTATCTGTATTTTCTTCCATCAAGGGCTACACCAACGTTCAACAATTTTCATTCGTATATATTTGTGGTACTTCGCTCAAAAGAAAAAGAAATAGAGGTCATGTTCAACTAATATTTATATGTATAATCTCCTAGAAAGATCTTCATATTAAAGTGGCGTTATATTTGGTTTTTAAATCATTCTGATATTCTAGACACGAAGAGTGGTTTAGCACAGTCCGCATTAAGCGCCCATTGTGTGTCCATCTTTTTTTTTTCTTTCTTTCTTTCTTAGTTAGAAATTCCTTTTTACTAGCATTGTTATTATGATTATTGTTTGTTGTTCTTGGAAAACGCTGATGCGGAATTGCATTGATGTATTACCAAAATTTTTGAGAGGAATACTTCTGTAATTCTAAAGTTCAGATGAAAATTTTGAAGATTCTTTTATCATGTTCTGCATGATAATACTATGATTTCCTTTATGCTACTGTCCTTTGGCAGTATCTTTGACTCAGCCTTTTCTCTGGAAACATTTATCAAATGTTTCAGGTTGTTAATGGTTCTAGTGCTGTGCAGACTGCTGCTGATTGGCAAGAATATGAGGCTACTGATGGAAGAAGGTAATTTTTTTCTTCAATTCAATTATAATGATTTTCTTTTTACCTGCCTATGTGATGGACAATATCATCTGGGTTACAAATTGGACCTTTTGTGTGCCTGATGTGCCATTATTTGACATTGAAAAACAGACTCGAGCAGGTGGAATTATGACTTTTACTTTACGAGTCTTAATGTTGCTCTTTGTGAATTGTCTGTGTTTCTTATTTGTTTGCATGAACTCAATACTTCTGTTACCAAGAAGGGCTAATAACTTATTTTCTTAAATGTAACTGCTCAGATACTATTACAATAAGATTACAAAGCAGTCCAGTTGGGAGAAGCCTGCTGAGTTGATGACTCCATTGGAGGTGAGCAATATCATGGAAGTCTTGTTTCCAATAGATCTCGACTCTTGAGTATCATCTGTCTTTTCTTTTTCATGAATCACTGTTCCATTCTGCTCTATTATTCTACGAGTACTGCCCTGTCATGTAGAAGTTGAAAGTTCTAGACTTGTTTAAATCGTTGGAGATTGTTTTGTGTATTATCGTTTATTTGCATGTCCTTCCACTGGTTTGTAGATGTCATGCCAAGTCAGGGGAATATAACGACTGCTCTTTGTCCTCACTTTGAAGGCGGTTTCACTTTCTCGAGGCAGGCAACAATTGCTATTTTTATTCCACGTGTAATTTTGGGATTAAATTCTCTGTGATGATCTTTAGATGCTGTTGTTGACTAGTATTGATTGCTCTGTATAAAGCTAATTTAATTGCTTAACTAGGGCATACAATATATGCATATTCTCCTGAGTCCTGTTTTTTTGCTGTCTAATATTAACAGAACCATATGTACTCTCTGTCAATTTTCTTGTCCAGGACTTGGTTTGTTCTGGTTTCCGTTTTGCTATAGTATTTGTTCATTTTATAAATTAAGGTAGTTACTTCTCTGTTTTGTTCTTTATTTAGTGATGGTTTCTGATATAATATGAGTTTTTATTTCATGCTGTGTTTTTCTTCATCCAGCATGCAGAGTTCGATCATGCTGCTTATTCAAAAATTTGAAATTTATGAATTATTTCTGATGTTAATTGTCTGTTCTTCTAAATTTTTTGTCCCTATTGACACCACTGCCACCACTAACCCTCACTTTTTTATAGAATCTTAATGTTTATTCTTACCTGGGTGTGGAAATTATGAATGCTTTCAACTTTTAGTTGATTTGATAGTATACTATTTATCACATGCCTGCATAATTGCGGTTATCAAAGACATCCACAGGTACTGGCTCATGAACTTTTTGTTCAGCGTATGAATTAAGTGTGCCAGATGAGAAATAATGATGCTGATGATTCTCGCGCTTTGACTGCTTCAGAAGTTCTATAGTAAAAGGAGTTTTTTGCTATCTCTATTTCTAGTTTTTAATTATGTTTTGCTCCTGTGTTGCAGTTTTTGAATAATTGTTTATATGTTTGAGTATCTTGTAGTACAACTGGCACAAGTGTTGATTCTTATTACCTCATCTCTTACTGTGAACTAAGTTACTGTTAACAGTTTCATTGCAACCATAAGCTGTAACATGTCTTGAAATGTATGATGATGGCATTTAGGATCTAGGGATCCTAAGTTTTGTGGGTAAACTTTCTGATTTGGAATTTCCATGGACTGATATTTTCTATTTTTTATCTTGTGTGGCAAAATCTTTTGAAACCAAAGTATAAAGGAAAAGAAGAAAGGTGATAGTAGAGGAAAATATACTTTTACCATTTTAATCTATATATGTTCATCTTTGTATTTCGACCTTTGCTGTGATCAAGAACTCATCTGACTGAAAATTTGTGCTTACAGAGAGTAAACGCATCCTCGGTTTGGAAAGAATTCACTACGCCGGAGGGAAAAAAGTGAGTACCATGAAATCCTGCATTTGAAGATTGATGATCTTGTGATTAACACAATGTATTTTGAGATGTCTGTAGTTTCCCTTGAACTCATGAACTTTTGTAAAATAATCTCTAATGGGACTTCCACAGGTATTACTACAACAAGGAGACGAAGCAATCTAAATGGACAATACCAGATGAGCTGAAGGTTTCTTTGGCTTTGATATCTAAATTTTAACTTCCATATAATTTGTCAACGGTTGAATGGATCTTGTGTATGTATTTCCAGTTGGCTCGTGAGCAGGCTGAAAAGGCTGCTGCTGGTGGAGGTCAATCATTAATGACTGTTAATGTGCCAACCGCTGCTAGTGGCACCACTTCTGAACAGCCATCTGGTACAGTGAAC